GGAAGGGTCACCAGACCCAAAAAGTCAACTGATTTCTCTTCACAGATGCTGCCAGACCGGTTGAGCTTTTGTCTACGTTTGTGCAGCTTACTAATACGGTGTAAAAGAAGTTAAAGCCCTGGATGAAACATTATCACATACGAATAGCTTAAACCAAACAGTAGCCCAAATCTTGCATAATATATGCAATTACTAGTCAAGTAACTTGATAAGGTTACCAACCACCACCCACCAATTCAACATAAACTTCAGTGTATGATAGAAGTTCAGTGACTCACCAAGGTTTGATTTATGCAAGTGGCCTGTGCTTGTGCTGAAACTAAGTGCTTTTTTGTGTTCTAGATGCAGGCAGATGAATCAATATGAATATCAATTTTGAGCTGAAGGTGACAGAACAGCTAATGCTGGACTTCACTCACATCACTAACAGACTTCAAAATATACAATTCCCAAATGTAAGTGCAACTTTAACCCAAAGACATTGAATAGCTATTAAAAAAGTGAAAAAAAATTCAGATGATATGGTTAACCCAAATTCAAAATGATGAAACCACTCAACACCTGCCTTAAACCAAATGCCCTGCTATTCACTCACTCATTTCTGAACAGGTAGAATAGAAATTTATTTCCAGATTGGAATTAACAGATTGAAACAAGGTTTTGAAATTCTTTTCACATCTGGTAGTAAAATAGGAAAAAAGATAATTAATTTGTCCACATGCTTTAATATACTTAATGAGAAATCTGATCTACAATTAGCAACTCAAAAGTAGCTTTCAACAATACCGTACATTTGGGTGAAAAGATGTCCTATTACATTGGTTAATTTAAAGAGAATTTTTAACTTCAGCTCAAGATTCATTAAGATGATGTTACAAAGTATTTACAGCATACGCCACACACATCTTTCTGCATGCAATATTTCAGGATACCATTGCCTAAAGCCAAACTTATTGTTTACAGAATTATTGCTCCAACTTAAAGGATTCCACTTCTTCTATCTTCCAACTGCCATTGCACAGCACATTTTAAAAATGAAATATCTCTTACATTTTGATGCACCATATTTTACAGTCCAAAAATGTCTTCAGGGTACATTCTGCATACTCATTCTATTTAACAGTCAACTTACCCCATTGCATTACATGGGTCAAATATAGCATTTCAACTCTAGTTCTCACCTTGGTACAGCACTGCTGCACCTCTCAGGACCCCCGGAGTGCCACCATCATAGATCCACATATTTCACTTAGCACACACTAGAGCACTATTCTACAACATATTGTTGCAGATGAATTCCTTGTGGAATTTCTAGAAAACATCCTGCTGGAGAGAACCACTGTTACTAGAATGGAGAGTCACCTTCCAAAATTCCAGTGGTACAAATTTGAATTTGAACCATCTGATATTCTTAGAGTAGGATCAATCAGCCACTTCTCTCAATCCCTGGTCTCAAAAAACCGAAACTAGAGTACAAGGTCCTTGAGTATAAAGGAAGCGGAAAATAACAAACAAGAAATTAGGAGTGTCAGAAGGGGAAGTAGGATTAAATAGAATCAAAAGGCATTATGAGAAAGAAGGTAATGAGGGAAAGTGTAGATCCACCATGATACTATTCTAAATTAATCCCATCTGCCTGCACATGGTCTGTATCCCTCTATTTCTTCCCTGTTCACGTGTCTGTCTAAATGCCTTTTTAAAAAAAAAACTTTGCTGACATGTCTGATTCTCCCACCTCCTCCCTTCTCTGCAAAATAAAATTTCACACATTGCTTTTTAAAAAAAAAACTTCCCCTCTCAGTGTAAACCTATAATTTCCTTACCACTGATGTAAGGCTCACCAGCCTATAATTTCCTGAACTATGCCTTTCACTCCTCTTAAACAAAAGAGCAGATTGGCTATTCTCCAGTTTACTGGGACTTCATCTGTGCCTAACCAGGATACAAAGATCTGTTAAGGCCCCGGCAATTCCCTCTCCTGCCTCCTTCAACATCCTAGGACAGATAATGTCAGACTCTGAGGACTTATCTTAATGTTTTTCCCAAGGCATCCAACACCCACCTTCTTAGTATCGACATGCCCTGGAGTATCAACATACTCCTCTAATCATACCATCATCCATATCCTCCTTAGTGATGCAAAGTACTCATTAAAGGACCTCACCCACTTTGGCTCCTTGCATAAATTCCCTCCTTTGCTCTTTAGTGGACCTACTCTTTCCTATATTTGCAATGCCTTTTGATTCTCTTTAATCCTCTTGCCTAGGATTTGCCCTTCTAGCCCTCCTAATTTATTGTTTAAGTTATTTTCTGCTTCTTTTATACACTCGGGCCTTGCAAGATCTCAGTCTCCTAAACCTTACATTCCCTCCTCTTTTCTCGGACTAAAAAAAGTTGTTGCATTGTAATCCAAGGTTCCCAAGTCCCCTTATCTTTAATCCCCTCAGAAACATGCTGGCCCTGAACTCCGATCAACTGGGCTTTCTAAAAAAGACTCCCACATGTCAGATGTGGACTTACCTTCAAATAATTGTCCGCACTCTAATTTCTGCCTAATATTGTTAATTAGCGTTCACCCAATTTAGCACTTTCACCTGATGAAAAGTCTTATCCTTATCCATAAGCATTTTAAACTTACAGAATTATGATCACTGTTCCCAAAATACTCCCATCACTGAAACTTTGATTACCTGGTCAGGCTCATGCCCCATACAAGGTCTAGTATGACCCTTGCCTAGTTGAACCATCTAGATATTGTTTCAAGAAACCTCCTGGATGCACCTAACAAATTCAACAGATAAAATATAACTATAGAAAGCCAATTAATCCAATCACATCCCACTCCGTTATACATTTAAAATAAGGTGGAAGATGGCAGGATATTCAGATGGGATGGAGTGAGTAGGTAAACAGTTAGAAAGAAAGGCACTCGACCAGTGATCCCAATTCAGAACTTCTCATACTTGTATTTGTGAAGTCATGTAACACAAATTTACATTTTAATGCAGTTTTTAGGATTTGATTTTCCATTAACTACAAATCCATAATCCAACTCCTTTTTAAATATTTCAATGAATTCTCTAGGTTGCCTGGTTCATGAGTACAGAAGTACAGGTAGTAAATTCTGAACGGTTCGGCGTTATCTAGTGCACTTAAGAAATTTAAATCTATTGAAATGGCGCAATCAAGTTCATTTTAGAACAAAACTTCCCTCCACACTTCATTAATTTTCAATCATAAAAACATTAATTCTTTGAAACTTTCCCAGGCACCTAGGTGCAAATAAAACATGGCTACTGAGTCTAAAGGAATGGTGACCAAAAGCACGGTCATAGAGTTGGATGATTATTTTTAAAAAGGAGTGAAAGTGGGAAGGCAGGAAGTTTAGGTCAGGACTTCCCAAAGTGTAGGTCCAGGCCCCAGTGGAGTTGTGAACTGGAAGTTTGGGATAGTGACCTCCTAGGCAGGAGTGGTTGCTATGGAATTTGACTAAATTGTAACAGTTGTACTCCTTGTGTAACAGGCTCCTACTCTCAAAGCCCTTGCCCCCAACTCTTGGATTTCCCTGAGGGGTTGTAACAAATTGTAAACCTCAAAATCAGATCAGTGTTTGAGGAAGTGTGGGGCTCTAACAGCTAATGGCACAGCTTCAGAATGTGGGGATGAATGTTGGGATATGGTGGGAGATGCACAAGAGACTTGAATCAGAGGGAAGAGGGCTTGTTGGGCATCGGGAGTGGTAGATGTGACAAGACAAAAATGACAGACAAGTGAGACTTGATGCAAGTTAAAATATGGGAAGAAAAGCAAGAGCATGCGAAACAAAGTTAGGTGATGTTAGATATTAGGCTGCACTGAAAACTACAAATTTTACAGGTCAAAAGTACAGTCAGTAGGACGTGCTGCTCTTTGTCAGCAAGTCAATAAGTTTCTTGTAATATTGTGATTGAAACATTGGATATGGGTACATGTAAGAGAACCTAGAAGAACACCATATAGCTCAGGAAATGCACTTTGATCAAATCTACTATGAATGTTCAGTCCTGCTTTAGACTAGAATTAGCATAGTTTGCCAGGACCAAATTAAAAATTTTTTTTTTTTGTTTTTTTTTGAAAAACTTAGTGTATGCCTGGTAACTCTAAGTTATTCATCAATTTAAATTTAGCTGATGGCTTCTACTTTTGTAAAGGCAAAATACTGCAGATGCTGGAACTCTGAAACAAACACAGAATGCTGGAGAAACTCAAAAGGTCTGGCAGCATTTGAGGACAGAAAAGAACAGTTAACATTTTGCCTCTGACATAACTCCTTCACAACACAGTTTGAAGTCGTCACACCAAACTCAAAACATTAACTCTGCCACTCATTCCACAGATGCTGTCAAACCTGCGGAGTTTCTCCAGAATTTTTTGCTTCTTCTTTTGTGCGCTCTTCTCCTAGCTTCACATAAAATATCACTCTGATGAGGCAGCATTAAGTTAAAGGGAATTCAAAGGGGGCACCAGTTACTTTCAAAACAGACATCAGATTGAGAGATGAAAGCAAAACTAGGAAAGAATTTAAGTCAAAATTCTCAAGAACTACAGGTTCTTGGAAACCTATCTCCATCCAGATAGGTCTTGGGCAGCACACAGTACAACATTCTGTATTATTTCTTCATTTTTTCAAGTAATCAGGTTATGGAATAACAGTGAGGTAACGCAAAATTGCTGTATATTTTAATAATACCTGTGCAAACTGAGAGGCATCCTCATTAAATCAATGCTCATAAAATGAAGACTTAAACCAATTTTAAAGAATTAGTGAAAAGTTTTCAGGGTTACTTTTATTGAACTACATTACATTCTCAGTGCCAGTGTTAAATATTGTCTATGAGCAAAATTCTTCATCTGGTGTGGGGTACAACTAAAAATGATTTATAATTTTGCAATTCTTCCTGTACCACACAAAAAAAGTTTAAAAATTTCACTGCAAGAACAGACTTAAAGTTGCACTTAAATAGATGATGTAATGTGGAGTAATTTTATTTACCTGAATTTATGAAACCGGCATGTTACAATGTCATCACTGAAATAAACACAAGATCTTATTTACAGGTTTTCACCATTAAACATGCTATTTTCTGACAACTGACAGGTTCTTTTCAAATCTGCATCACAATTTTCTTATTGCACCAATGCTTCTGTTAATGCGCTACAACTTAAAAGAGTTAAGTTACAGTGCAAGAAGAAATTCTCTCATTTTATCTCACACCAAAGAGAAAAAAAAAAAAAACTTTCCTTAGAAAAAAATACATTGAAGTTATGAAACTGTCAACCTACAGGATGTAATTTACATTCAGGATTTGTACCTAAGTTTTTCATAAATATAATTGCATTTTGTACACAGCCATTTTTATAAAGTAGTTCTTTGTCTTGTTGACCCAATACACAGATTCTGTTACTTAAACAGAAGGCATGCATTTTCATAATGTACAATTTATAAATTCAAATGAAACCTTAGAGATGTAGGTCCTCAACAGTTGGTGACACTTATCTCTTTAGCAAAGAACCTGACCTCTCTGGAGTACTGTAAAGTTCACAAGGATGTATTGCACAAATGTACAGTTTCTCTGAAGTCCTAAATTTTAAACACACTTTTCTTCCAAATAGCATACTATTGTTGCACATTATACATGCAATGGTCTTGGTAGTTGTGCTTAGAAACACACATGCACGCAATAACAAAAGAACCTTAGTTTTCTGAAAATTGTTAAGGGAATTACTGGTTCTCCTCTTCATCATCCATAGCTGTTGAGAAAGGAAAAGAAAAATTAGTTGGTTACTAAAATAACAGTTGCTTTTTTCTTTAAAAAAGGAGTATCCAAACTAAACAATCTGCTCTAGAAAAGAGAGCAGAGTGCTGGACACTGCCTGCTGAGTGTCAAAGTACTTCCAACAGAGGATAATATACAAGCATTCGGAGGAATAGGAACCACATTTCTTTAAAACAGACAATTTTTGTTTTGTAAACACTTAAAGCAACAGTGCTACAGATAGATACTATGTACCAGAATGGTTTTAAAGGAACAGTAAAAGTGAATGAAACATGCACAAAATTTTTGTTAAAAAGTGTGGGGTAAAAAGAATGACAGTCTACTGGCACCAATTCTAAACACTGCTGTTTATATTCCTACCCCCTGGAAAAAGGGACACGCTTTACTTCAATTTCATCATGCCAATTTTTCCATTACTGTCTTTCAGAATTCTCAAATTGTGTGCACACCCTTTCCTCAGCAACATTTGTTTTACTTTTATGACGCATGTAGCCAATCTGCTGAAAGCCATCTGCTGAGCTGCTGCATCACAAATTCATCTTGTCCCTCCTGCAAGAACTCCTTGTACAAGTTCTTTGAATCTAAAATTTCAACTGACAGGTGGAGAATCACTGATCCGAGTTCTGGCTCCATCCTACGTCTATTTAAGTAGTGAGCTGCCATACCCATTTCTCCCTACCCAGTTTTCCCTCTTCTAAAATGGTGAAATTCCTTGGTACAAATTTATTCATGGCAGCCATCCTCCAATATCTCACCCAAGGGAGCACATGATTACATGCAAGATTCAATAATCAATAGGGTCTCTGCTATTATAAAATCTGATATCACACTCCTACATCCAGCATCACTTTGAATCTGGCTGGTTTTCACGCCCCAAAGGCAACTGCAGCATCTGATACCACCAGAGCTGGGATCAGAGCTAAGCAGAAATTAAAATTAGAAGTAATCCTGGTTTATTTGACTAATGGCTACCTATTGGGTAAACTGGATAAGCCAACATGAGCAGTCCAATGCAAATTCATAATGATGGTAACTAAGCAATTACTATGGGCAGATATTTTTCACTTCAGTATATCACCATTTGAATAATTAAAGGTTGTTTCTGATACATTTCTAGCCATAGCCTCTCAGTAGCAGCCGGTTTTACAACATGACCAATTTTTCCATTGGTGTCACCCACTTAATTAGAATGGAGAGAATTTAAACAGATGTAAATTTGATAGAACTGGATAATTATAGGATATAAAATTAGAAACTCAGGAGAAACCAGAAGAATATCCTTTCTTTCTTCACAAGTGGAAGGAGTAAAGCCCAATGAATAAGAAAAAAGTGCATACATCTAACTGTTTGTATGAACCTAATATTTGATCTGGGAAATGGTGTCTTTGAATAAATGCTCTCAATGAGTTAACAATTGGTCAACATACCAGAAAAGTTCTCAAGTATAACTCATGAAATTCATCCCCAGTTGTCAATAAGTCAGTCCTGCTGTCAAATGATGCAGATGGCATTCAGTAATGGCCACAGTAAGATGACATGGCACTGTCAATCCTTCGGAACCTTGCATGCACACTTGGCCACACCTCAGCAAATACAAGCATGAGGCAACAGGATTTAACAAAGACATGACCAGTCAACAGTATTATAGATGGCCTCAGACAAGACTAATGTAAATAACGTGAGTCATTTAGTGAACATGCCATGATACATATTACTCTTAGCGCTGAAAGCAGCTGAAGTCTGTTCCATTTTGGAATGTGGGAGGTAAAAATCTTGCAGTAAAATATACTGTAGTAATATCTACTTTAAAAGAAAAACACCTACATAATATATTATTTTAATTGGTAAAAGAATCTCAACTGCTTTCATTTAATTTCTCCGTCTGGATTAAAGGTGTATGAAAGCAAAGTGTTATTGTCCAAGCATGCTTTAAGCAGTCTGATCCAGGATTCAGATACAATGGTCATTTATAGACTCAAAGTACAATGTTACAATTTAACATAGAATTTTGGAGTGTCAAAATTTTACACATGATATTTCCAGTTATATTTAAAACTAGAAAGGACACATTTCCTGAAATGTTCAGCATTAAGTGAATGGAGGCTAAGCAACAAGAGGAATTAGACTTCAAAAACAAAAATCTTAGAAGTTTTGACAAATCTACAAAAACATGTGTTGATCTAACATACCAGAATCCTGGACTAAACTCAATGTGTGTCCAACATCCAGAACTGGAATTAGGCAATTACAAAATGTAAATATACTCACTTTAGATGATGAATTTTGGAAGGCGTTGAAGAAAACACCATTGTTAGGTTTGTTAACACATGTAAAAAATCACCTCACTTAAATGTCACTTTAGAAAACATGCTCTAGAACACTATTACCCAACATTTAGATTATTACAGTTGTAAACAGTTAGTATGATAATTTGTTAAAATTTACTTTTAGTTCTATACATTATGTCAAATGAGTATTTGGTAATGTGCTACTTACAGCTTGAGCCTAAATTTTCTAGTTTTAAAATATCATTGTTGCATGTTTATGCTCAGCATTAGCATCTAAAAGTAACAATTAGCTTTCAGCTACTTAAGTGTTTTCAAATACATGTGAGTAATAAATAGTTCTTCAAATCATGGCCAAGTCTGTGTGACAACTAAGAATCTAACAAATAAGACCTAAAAACAATTTAAACTGCAGGACATATTTTGTATTGCATTTGAAAAACCTACATGAGCCACCCTGGTAAAAAGAGAGACATGGAGAATTTCCTCTCTGTTTGTCTAAAACAGTTTATTTTTTGACTCATGTGAATTAACCCCTGATGTAGAACATCCAAGGTAGAACTGGCAAAAGTAAAGAATCCCATCAAGACTGTTACAACAAAATACAAATCAGCATTTTAAATAAATACCATTTAACTCATTGGGGACAAAACAGCGATACTGGGTGTGGACTGAGGAAAGTGGAGTGTTCTGCACAGGCAGTAATTAGCATACCTCAAACAAGGTTGGACTGTAAACATGACAGAGTTGAGAACACAGAAATGAATACAAAGAAGTAAAAGTAAAAAGGTAGTTGAGGTAGCAATACTCTGCTGAGTGCAGAAAATAATGGAGTTCTGAACTAAAACGATTTGACAGAAGGAATGAAATAAAGTCTAAAATAGAACCCAACAAAAATAGCCATGCAGTGACACACCATGCAATCTTTTTCTCAAATTTTCAAAGAATTTAACATTCTCTAGTATTCCATTTTTAGCCAAAAAAATACATCCGTCAACTTATTGGTTCTCAATTTATACACAAAAGATGAACAAATTAGTAAACAGAACATCTGTACATGCTGTTTCATCTACAAAAACAAAATTTTGCAGAAAATAGTATTAATCTCTGTACACGCCAATGCACAGCTTTTTTTATTAAAGTTTTTTTTAAACTGTGTAAAAATCAATCCTGTTTCTTTCTGGAGTTCATGAAAAAAATATTAACTTCATCCATACATGGGTTCGTATGAAATTCAGCAGAAACAGACTCTTGGAATCACATGTTTAAATGGTAAAAATTTTGGTCGAAGTTAATCAAATGCCATGTCTTCACTATGCCAACGACAGCTCTATTTCAGTCAAGACCAGAACATTTCAGCAAAATTAGTGTCTGTACTGTAAAGCCAGAAAACCAGGGGTACAGAAATAAGCACAAAAGGCCAGGAAATCCCCTCTGTACATGCTGAGAAACCACACAGTTTGTCACTAGGCAGAGTATACTCTTTACCCGCTTCAAGGTAGTTACGAGCAATAAATTTGAGTGTCTCATCCAGCAGAATGACAGGTAGAGAGATTTTCAGCACCATCAGCCACTGTGTTACATCCAAAGGCGTAATTTGAAAGATGAGCTGCAAAGAGACAAATAAAACAAAATTTCTGTTTTAGTTGCATTTGGGACATTTTGTTTTTAAGTGACTTACTGAATGAATCAATTAACGAAGAAAAAAAAAATCAACTCTCTCTTTCAATGATTTGAGTTATGCAGGAAAGCACAAGTACAAAATGGATCCAACATGAATCTATTTCATTAGCTTATCTTTCCTTTCAAAATCACAAACCTATTAACATAAATCCTGATAATACAGGATTGTCACACTTCATCTTCTCAAATTCCAAAAACAGATTAAAACTGAATAAAGTGAGACATTAATTGCTATGGTCAAAGATTTGAAAAACTGGGGCACTTTTACAAAGTACAAGTAGTTATTTTTAATGGGGAGAAATTAAATACGTGCTTTCAGATCAATGAAGTATTATGGGAGAGGGGGACGGGATAAATAATAAAACAAGGTTTATACTGGTTGACACAAAAAGGAGTATAAATGTAATTATGAGACGAATGAAGTTTTTATTTCTCCACACAGGGTTATTACAACATGAAATGTTTCAACATTTCAACCGAGGTTACAACATTGCTTCTGGAGGAATTGAAAAAATAAAATGAAAGGGAGACAGAAAAGTAGAATCTGCGATTGAAGATTGTTATCTCAAGAGCTACCATGCTTCCCACATGGGAAGAAAAAGTGCTTTACCCTGTACTGCAAGTTCCATTATAAAATAGTGAGAAATCTCACAGTTCATGTCCTTTTGCTTCAAAGTTACATGGTATGAAACACAGAATGATGTGAAAGCTTCAGCATCATGCAGACCTGTGCCCAGAAGGCACACTTTTGGTTGGAACTGTAGTGACCAACTATCCAAGTTTAATGAGCCATCTAATGATTGGTCAATATAGCCTCAACATGTACATTAAAACAATGACTGCAAATAAGCAAAAAATATTAAAAACACAAATGGGATTCATGTTTTATGTATCAGAATGTGAAATAAAGAAAAAAGATGCACTGACTTTTCATGAGATTATCAAAACCAGAGAAAACATTGATTCCAAGGAATGAATGATACAGTTGTTACAATGACTGAAATAGTAATGTATTTGTCTAGAACTTGGAAAAATTATAGAAAGGAATCAGGATTAAATACAAGTGCTCAAAAAGATGCTTAGCAATAAAAAGAAATTTTCCCTCAAATCAGGAGGGTAGTAACAAGTGGGGAAATGCTCACAACAAGCATATATATATTCAAAAGAGAAAGGATAAATTATATCAGAGATAGTAGGAACTGCAGATGCTGGAGAATTCTTGTAGCCAAATTACCCAATAATTAGGTGAAAACTGAATAAACAGGAGGGAAAACACTATAGCATTCAGGAGAAGAAGGGTAGCAAGTTATTACTGACATAGAAGTGGCCTGTGTAGTAAAGGTTTTAAGGACTGAATTTTGTGTACTTTCTCCATGGGCAGTTAGACCCACAAATTAGTTCACCTGACGAACGGGCAGTGCTCCGAAAGCTATAACCTGGTGTCATGTGGCTTCTGACCTTGTCCACTCCAGTCTGCCACCAGCAGCTCCACATCACAAATCAAGGGGTCATGCTCGCTGCCTGTGTGCATGCATCATAATTTGGCGAAGTGGGGAACCTGTAGGATGGGTCACCTGTTGGTGGCCCTGAGGTCCATAAACGGGAAGCTGATGCCTAATTAAGGACCTCGCATCACTGCCTTGCTAATTGAACAGGTGGTGGGAGGGACCAACATTCAAACATACTAGGCCAGTAATTTTAACCTGGTGGGCTGCTGGCCAGTTATGGTGGGGTGTGGGGAACATGTCCTCAGTAAAATAATCCAACCCTATGATGTGTAAAATGGTTTGAATAAAGACTTTTATAATCTAATTTAGGAAGTACTGTGCCTAGTAAAAGCAAGTCTCAATATTCAGAACATCATGGACTTAAAACAAACTGTCAGATGAATTCTACCGTGAAATAAAATTATCCTAAAAGTAGTAGTATAGGGCAAAGCATGTCATCTGACTGACCGGTAGTGGCTCCACGGATAAAATGAGGAAGTGAAGAGACATCGACAGGCAAATTGAACCCAATAACCAGATGTTTTCCCAAGGTGGCATTCTCAACAATGACTGGTTCTCTGATAAACTGCAAGATAAAAGTAAACAAGTTGCTACTGAAAGCAATTTCTAATTTTGATCACATAAACCCTAAGTCCAACCGAATCATCAAATCCACAAAAAAAAAATACACAAAGCAAAGTAGTACAGATTCTGGAACTCATAACAAAATTGAAAATGTTGGAAACAGCTGATCAGACAGCATTTGCAGAAAGACAGACAGTATTTCAGGCTCATTAGCTTTTGTCAATACAGTTGCTGTTCCTTTTATATATTGCCTGACCTGGTAAGTGTTTCCAGCATTTTGGCTTGATTTTTTTGGTAGAAATTAGACACTGGTGAAGGCATGAAGCTCCAGCTGCCAGGAAAAATTGAAGCTCGTTTTAGGCTCAATGTATCATCTTATGATTAAGTGACCAGTTTCTTTGTTGCAAAGATCTCTACATATCTGAAGGTTTTTGCCAGTGTCAGTGTCATTCAGGTGCTACTTGCTGGAGGTTCACCAGAAATGCAAAAATTGTCTAATCTTTCCAGTTTTTCCATCAAAATGTCTGCAGAAACAAACAGAATGATGCTGCCATTGCCCCTTGGAAATAAATGTAAAACTACAAGTGTGGATAATTGTAGCAAGGATGCAGCATTTATTGCTGTGTTATGATATATCATGTACACCCACCTCACAAAGGAAAATTACAAGCTTCAACAATAACCCTTTAAAATATTACATCTTACATGAAATTAAAGAGGACATTCTTTCTACTCCACGCTGGCATGCACGAGGTGATGAGATGACCGAACGTCTAGTGTGTGAATTGATTTAAAATTAAAAATTGGGTAGAGGATGCTAATCACAAGTCATAATATTTTGTGCATTTGAACACTGACACTTCGAAGTGCCATATCCCATTCCAGTGTGCTAAAAATAAGGCATTCCGTCAAAAATAAGCAGGGGGGTGAAAGGCCATCCAGGGATAAGTGGGAATACGGAGTATTGCGATCTTGATGAAAAACGGAGTAGGTTTGAAGGACCAAATGATCTACTCCTGCTCTTAATGTGTGTACTTGTATGCATGTTCATGATAATTTTTGCTACTTTAATTTTATGGATAGGCATTGGGTAACAATGGGCATCCATAGCATAATCTATGAATCCATTGCTCAACCATTTACCTCAGTATAACAAGTATACACTTTAACATAATTATTAGCTAATCTTTGTTCACACAGTAGTAATTACAAGTAGAAGGCATAACATTTCAAGGCTAGTGAGTGTAATATTTCTAACCTGTTAAGAGCATTACACATCTCAATGGTCACTAGGACAGAGAGTGCCATGGTCATTGGATAAGGAGATTCGAATACTTCGCAGTCAACATCTTCAAAATCTGGGTTTTCTGGACTGCATTGTAAGAAGTGGCTCTGTGGAAAAACAGAAAATATGCATAGACATTAATTATAAACATAAAAGACTTAAGATTTTAATAACAGCTCAGTGGGTGAATACACGATGTCATGCAGTACTCTTCCAAAAAGGTAAAGTTCTGGATTTCACTTGGAAATTCAGCTGGAGATAGTTGATTTTGATATAGGAATATTGGTCTCAAATCTCCGAAGGCTTGAAGGAGCAGGAAAATTAGTCATCCAAATCGTTACCTAGTGATTAGTCCAGGAAAGTGGAAATAGATGAATCTGATTTTCTTGTCCTATGATATATTCCACAGATGAAAGGAGGTCAGCATTTATAATCTAATGCTAATGGGTTACTTGGGTGAGGTACATGCTGGTTATCTGAGCCTGTGGGACAGTGACTTAGGATTCACCAACTTCAGTAACAAAGGAGGAACTGAATCTTAAAATCACAACGTATTTTGTGGGAGAACCTTTTACTTGGCTTGGGTTTAGGATACTAAACTTTGCACGTGCAATCAAGTCAATTACTTGATTTTAAGACAGCTCTACATAAAGCAGTTTTAGTTTACTGCGCACCATTACATTTGCATTTTAAACACCACAGGATAAAAGTGGGATATGCAATGTTAGCCTTTTGGAATGAAGTACAAAGAAACACTTTCATGTTAAAAATATAACTGAATGAAATATTACCAGCTGGTAATATGTAACTCTGGGTCCATCTTCTGCAGCTATGAACCACCAAGCAGCAGCACCAACTGTAGCAGCTCCTACATAACCTGAAAATGGATCAAAACAATAAATTAATTTTATTTCTTTCAGATAATTTACGCTATGGTACAGTCAATAGCTTAAGGATGGCATTGAAGCCACAGATATATTGTTAAATGAAAAGAAAGCACCTGCAGGGTTATGGGGAGAAAGCTGGAAAATGATGCAAAGTGAATTGCTCAAAGAACTAGCTGCAGACATGATGGGCTGAATAGCCTTATGTACTTTAACAATTCCCTGATGATAGCCTGCTTACATTATGACATCTAGATTCCATCCCTTTGGTCAAGGACAATTGACACAACAAAAGCTACTTGGTTGCTAAATGCACAAAGAGAGATAAAGATGTCTGATTTAGTGCAGCCAGAGTTGCTCAGCAACCCAAGGCTCTCATGAAATCACATTAGCTATTTGGACTCAAATGAAAATGTGCAGTTTTTTCCACATTGCTAGGGAATTTGCACTGTATCAATTTACTAACTCCCCTGAAGGCACATTAGAATGAATGTGGCAATGAAAGCATATGTCAACAGACAGTAAGATAATCCCCCAGACATCATCCTTACTGCAAAAGGCAGTGACTATTATAATCTGTTCATAACTGGACAAGGTCAAAAGTCACACAACACCAGGTTATAAGTCCAACACGTTTATTTGAAATAACAGGCTTTTCTGGCGCTGCCCCTTCCTCAGGTGAAGTGAAGAGAGCACCCAGGCACAGACTTTACAATCAGAGAGATCAAAAGATCATACAAATGGTGAGTGTGGAGTGCTGGCAGGCCAAATAATAGTTCTCTGCAAGTGATGAAAAGTATCAGGCGGTGTGAGTAAAGTGTCAACAATTGAATAACAAGTGAACGGATGACCTATAATCTGATTAATTGAGGCACAGAGATAATTACAAAAACTTAAAAATAAGGTGCTGCTGGATACAAACCACACGGTTGGAACAACATGACAGGTGTAAGAGTCACACGCAGAGGGTCTAACCAAAGTAACCCTGTCCACCCCAGTCCAACACTGGGCACCTCCACATCAGAACTGGACAGATTTAAAAGTATTTAAACACAAAATGGGGAGTGGAAATCAAGTGAAAGACCAGAAACCTAGCCAAGTACAAAAAAAATGAAAAGTATATATATTTTTTGAAAAAGTGATTTAGCACTCAAAGCTTCTCACACTAAATCATTTAATCTTGCATTAAGATAAGGAATGCTCATCAAGAATGCACGGTCACAAATAAATCCAAAAAGATGGCCAAAGAACCTTGAAAGCCCTTACTGGTTAATTGCAAAGTTTTGCCAACTCTCACGCATACTCACATCCAATTGCCATGTAGCGGAAGAAGAGCCAGCCACTGATCAAGGGTTCCTTAGGACTGCGAGGCGGTTTGTCCATTATGTCCAGATCAGGTGGATTAAATCCTAGTGCTGTGGCAGGCAATCCATCTGTCACCAGATTCACCCACAGGAGCTGTACAGGGATCAAAGCCTCAGGGAAGCCTAAAGCTGCTGTCAAGAAAATGCTGAGGGAGGATGGGGGCGCAGTGGAGAAGATAAAGCAGTTCAGTTATATTTTCTATCAGTTCTACATACATCACATGCAACATGTTTGCTGTCAATGCAGGCAAAGATATATTCCTGAAGGAAACATGACTACTTGAAAGACTCACTCTTACTGTGAAACAGAACAGCTCAGGAGAATGCCTGCAATTTAAAATGCATTTTCATCCTGTTTGTAATGGCGTTCAAAAAGATGAACACAGTATTTGTTAAAGTCCCTTTCCGTTTCAAATGCTGCAATTTGGAATCCACCCAAGCAAAATAATCAGCATTATGTAAATTTGTCAACAAATTGTTTGGCAAACAGAAGAACAGCACTAGAGCAATGAAATGCACTAGAGATTGTATACCTCTCCAACTAAATGGAGTGAGGAACAGCAAAGAGTGACAATTCCTTGGTGTGCAAATGTAAAGAGAGGAGAGGGAAGTCAGGTGAGATCTACAAGAACAAAAAAAAGTGTACAATGACACATCTGACTTCCAATATAGAATGAAATAAAAAAAAGGTACTGTAAGTGGTCAAAGTGTCTCCTCAGAATTCAAATCAATCTATCCTAAACTAGCTGATTACTAGTACAAAAGAAAGAAAGAAACACTGCCTGATTTACTTCTGGGAAATGAAATGGAGAAAGTAATACAAGGGGGTAGAATAGTTTTGAAACAATGATCATAACATGATTAGTTTAAAGTGAAAGCAAATAAGGAAAGAGCACTAGAGCAAAATGAGCCAGATGCAGCATAGTTCAAATCTATTGGGTGGAAAAGGCAGCAAACAGGTTACTCAGCATATTTTAAAAATGAGATGAGAATGCAACGTGGATATACTCAGAAAATGGAAAAGTAGGTAGAACAAAAGATAAGGGTCATGTGGATAAAGGCAGGTAAATTTAAAATTGAAACAAAAAAGGCACAACAGTCAATGCTGGGGGAAGCTCAAAAGCCAGAGTGCACTTAACACAAGAGCATATTGATTTTAAATTTAAGGTGGTGGTGAACTGGGAGGCACAACAGATCAATGATCACAAGTGACAATAGGTGAGCTGAACTTAGTGCTAGTTAGTAACATAGACAACAGAATTTTGGACCAGCTCCAATTTAAAAAAATTGTTGAGGATTTGGCAGGGGGAAAAACAGGAGACAATTGGAATAGTCAAGGCTGGAAGTAACAAAGATGAGCATTTCTGCAGCAAGTAGGTCAAAGCAAGGATTCAGAGTAGAAAAGAATTTCACTGCATCCAAAGTGACTCAAAATACGTATGCAACATTTGTTTGAAAATATGAAACACTGCATCATAATGGGGATAACATGCTATTGTTGTATAATATACAGAAGTTCAAAATCGCAGACATATTTATGAAGACATGTTTAAGCTTCAAAGAAGTGATAAATTTTAATCTCAAATTTTGATTTCAATCAGGGAGTGCTGGAATTATTACATTAATATGTTGAAAGCAGGACTCATTAACTAAAATCCTAAGCTGAAAATAATGATGAATAATGCAATTGGATTCAGAAAAATTTAGATCATTTACACAATCTTTGGCAGTTCAACAGAAAGATGTGGGGAAGTAATGCTTCCTGAATGACCTATTAAATTTATCCTAAAAATCACAGCCAGACTTACTGGCCTCCAGTTTGCAGCTGGGTACAAGTCAAATTAACTGATCATTGCTGGAATAGCATTACAGGATTACAATTAGTCTAAGCAAACTAATGGGGAGCGGGCAGGGACAATTAAGTCAAGTAAGGCTCCATTCTTGACCTCTTTCCAGTGTCTGTTTTTGATAAGAATGTGTTTGGACATAGGCAAGGAACAGCTTGGGAATGATGCTCCCCACAGTCAAACAGTAAAGTACTAAAAGCTCACAGACAAAAATGACTATGTTCTGGAAGAAGGCACTAAAAAGTCATGTTAAAAGGGACGAAAGTATCAGTGATATCCAGATGAGATGTAAAAGGTTTTAGATTTTATAATCTTAATTTAAGCAGACAAGAGTGCTTGGTTACTGAGGAAAAGGCAAAAGGCAAAAGGCGATCTGGGCTGAATAAACAAAAAGAAACATCTAGGTGCAAGATTAAAGGCAAGTTAAGTTTCAGCTAGTGACACGTGTTCCAAGTCCAAGTCCAGCAATCCAACTATATTTCTAACACCTGCAATTCTTTGTGAACATTACTTTGCTCAGTCACAATTTGAAATTATACACTGATCTCCCCCACCACCACCCCAGAGGAGAGTTTTAAATGTACATCTTGCCACACCAGGATGACTCAAGGTCTTGAATTTACATTATAGGAAATTGAACAATATGCATACACTGAAGTTCCTTCTTATACATTGCCTCTCCAGATTATGGAGAAATATTCCTAGGCTTTTTTGATTGCTTTTAAGCATAAATTTCTCACTCCCTCTATGCTCTTTTCAATCTTAATGAAAACAGGTAGAAGGGTGGTCTAATTAGTGCAATACTCAACTTCAATACAACTTCTTACAGACTTGCACTTTATTGAACTCATGTAACTGATGAATGCATGGAACAGATTATAGAAATATGACTAATACAGTGAATGGCATAGCAATAAGAAAGAGGATAAATGATTTATGATAAAAATCCAGCTTGGTGACATTGGTTAATGACATCTTGGGCCCTATTCTCAATCTAACATCAGAGGTGAGAACTAGTTCAAATTCATCCCCACGAGTTGAAAGGATTAGTTGTGAGATTTCAGTGGAAATGAATAAGATGATTTCACAATACTAATAATACTTAAGACACTTTGCACACAAAGTTTATTTTCTAAAGATCCATATAAATTGACTGAATGATTTGGCTCTTACTGCACTTTTTTCATTCATTTGACAAAGCGACACAAGCAGTGGATGAGGATAGTGCTGTGGATACTGTATATTTGGATTTTCAGAAAATGTTTGGTATGGCAGATTAGTTAGCAAATTAGAAATGCTTGGGAATGATGGATCCTTAGCAGCATGGGTTAGAAGCTAGTTAAAAGACAGGAAACAGAGGGTATGTATAGGATGGGCATTTCTCAGATTAGAGACTAGTTGAAAATGGTGTTCTCCAGGGATCAGTGTTGGGACCCCTGCTTTTGTTGATTCATATAAACAATTTGGGAGATAAGTGTTGAGGGCAAAATCTCGAAATTTGTGAAATGATACTAAGCTAGGGAGAACAGTAAACTGTGAGGATGATGTCAGTAACTTGGGAGACATTGACAAGTTGGCCAAATGGGCAGAAACATGGCAGATCAATTTCAATGCAGAGAAATGAAAGGTAATTCACTTTGGTGGAAGAAACATGGACAGACAATACAGGTTCAACGGTACACATGTGAGAGGAGTACAGGAGCAGAGGGGCCTTAGAGTTCAAATGCATAATTCTTTGAAGACGGCTAGGCAAGTTGAAACAGTTAAGCAGCCTCTAGGTTCCTTGGATTTTTTAAATAGAGGCATAGAGTATAAAAGCAAGGAAGTGATTCTACACCTCTACAAATCGTTGGCCAGATCACATTTGGGGTATTCTGTTCAAATCTGGGCACCTTATTTGAGGAAGAATGTTAAAGTCCTGGATAAAGTGCAAAGGAGATTTACGAGAAGGATACCAGGAATGAGGAATTTTAGACAAGGCAAGATTAGAGAAATTGGGGATTTTTTTCCTTACTGCAGAGATGACCTCATTGAGTTGTTCAAAATTATGAACAATTTTGACACGGTAAAGGAGGATATTCTGTTTCCACTAGGTGGTATTTCAGTAACCAAGAATCCTAAGTACAAGATTGTCAGAAGAGAGCTAAGAGTCAGATGAGGAGAAACTTTTTACTCAGAATTGTTAGGATTTGGAAATGTGCTGCCTGGGAGAGTGGAGGAAGCAGGTTCTATAGGTGGGTTCAGAAAAAAAAAGCTGGATATATATTTGAAAGTGATGAACTTAGAGAGCTATAGAGATAGGGATGGAGAATGGGATGAGCTGGGTAGCTCTTTCGGGAGTCAGTACAGATATAAAAGAGGGCTGGATGGCCTCCTTCTGTACTGTAAACTTCTGTGATTCATCAAAATTGGGAATGATTGAATGCCGCTCAGCCTCCTACTTACCAGACTACTTCTCCAACATTGGAAGAGATGAGGTAGCGAATAAATTGTTTCATGTTGTTGTAGATAGCACGGCCTTCCTCCACTGCTGCTACAATCGTGGAAAAGTTGTCATCAGCCAGTACCATTTCAGAGGCAGATTTTGCCACAGCTGTACCAGATCCCATGGCAATTCCAATCTCTGCCTTCTTCAGGGCAGGAGCATCATTCACACCATCACCAGTCTGTCAATGCCAGGGCAGGGGGAGGTGAAGAAATAGGTGAATGCCACATTGGTACATGAAAAATGATGAATTCAGGATTATGCTTTTTTACATTAAAACATTTACCCTAAAAGACAAGTATGGGCAATTACTTGAAGGCAGTTTTCAATAGGGTCATAGGGCTTCAAAACCAAAAAAGGGGCAAAATATCTGAGTAAACAAGGGATAGAAATATACAGCAAGTTTTTGCTTTCATTTCAGTTTGGTTATAGACTACTTTGTGACAGTTAAAGTAATTTGAGTAAAGGTTTCTGTACTAACGTGTAATAAATCTTAATTTAAAAATCAAATTTTAAACCTAGTTTTACAATATTTTTAATTCTTACAAGTCAACCAATTGCAAATGGATTCTTGTCCAGGCGATAATTTTAAATTCATGGGACTTGGTGCTGCTGGCTAGATCAGCATTTATCACCAATCCCAAAGCTAGAAGGTGGTGGTGGGCTGCTTTCTTGAACTACTCCAGTTCTTGCAGGCAAGAGTTGATCAATTAGTAGTTACTAGTACGTCTCAAAAGGGCATGTGCATTACAGGAACATCTAATGAAGAAGGAGTGTGACCAAAAGAAAAGATCTGCATTTACATAGCACTTTTCAGCCAGGGTTGCAATGCAGGAAACATTTCAGCCAATTTGCTCACAATATATTCCCACAAACAGGAATGTGATAATAATCATACAAGACATTATATTGCTGGTTATTAGAAGATACGAGGATAACAGCCCTGCTCTTTTGTAATAGTGCTATGGAATCTTTTACATCTGCCCAAGGGGGAAGACAATGTCCCCATTTTTACACTATATCCAAAAAGGTGATACCTCTCAAAATGCACTGAAGTGACAGCCTAGACTATTGGGCTCAAGTCCCGGGAGTAGGATCTGAACCAGAGTTTCTGACTTAGCTGAGTGTGCTACCAATTGAACCACTGACCTAGGTCACATTTACACACAGTGAAAACTTCTAAAGAAAACTGGAATTTGATACAAGGGAGTGAAGGTGGCAATTTAAATCAAGCGGCACAGAATATAAACTTACTAAGCAAATAGTCAGTAATTTGATCAAAAAGGGGATAGAATTAAAATTAAATGGAGGATACTACTTTAAAAAGGACTCGAATTGCATTAATACCTGATATGCCTAATAAATAGGACTTGAGGGTATCCCAACTAGAAACAGACCACAAAGAACGTGTGATAATGGTCCAGATTTCATAGAGTGGTGAAGGAATGATACACTCCATTGCTCTAAAAGAAAGCTGCCTACAAACATCTGATCTGTGGCACTGATTTCTCCTTTTCAGCCTAATTTGAACTTGACATTAAAAGGATCTTTATGCTTCCACCACGAATATCTTTTCAAGCAGGGTAAATAGCCAATCACAGGGAAGTATACTCTTCAACAAACCAGAAAATACAGTGCACTGAAGTCGTGAAAATTTTAATTAAAATTGAAATAAATGAGAAAAGGGGAAGTGCAGAGGTGAACGTGTCAAACTTGTGCTCAAGCATTCTCTTCTTTCAAAGGGATGTCTTATTTGTATCTCGACCTGCCTGGAATTACTTCTGTGAACATTGTCTCAAATTCATGTTCTAGAAAGCCATTGAGGCAATATGTTACACTCCTCAGCATGTGGTACAAGATGCTTAGTAACTAACTACACCAAGTTCCATGTAACATTCATTTTGGTGGCAGCCTTTTATCAGGTGACATGTTATTTCAATCACAATCTAACATCTAACTTAAAAAAGTTTCTAAACAGTCATTTATTGTGCTCCACAAATAATCCTGGAGTATGAAATAATGGGTGTGCTTTAACATGGGAAAGTTGCAATGTGAAACCCTATTAAGAGAAATGCTGTTAAGGAGATCTTAAAGACTCCCCTACCTCAATACTACCAAAATTCGCCTTAAAATGTTCAGCTGTTACTGGGACAAAACCTCAAGGTGGCTAGGCTCCCCTGTGAACATACCTTAAAAATGATTTTTTTTTTGTTTGGAGTTGAACCTGGATTCTTATTTATTAAGTGGGCTTCGGAATTGAGCTCAATCATCGTTAAATGCGAAAATGTCAACTTTCAGAAGGAACCATTGCTTAGGTGATCACGAGTGGGAATTTTAGCCAAATTTCGCTCCCTTGTCCCATGCCACTGAGGTCAAGTGCGGCACCCCTGTGATATGCTGAACCTACAGGGACCAAGGATCCTCATCATTGCCGTCACTGAAAACTATCCAGGAAATCAGAAAGCCCATAAACTAAGAAATTTCATACAACTTTGATTGTGAATCTGAAGCAACGATCACATCTTATATACTGAGCAAGTATACAAAATACATTATCTTGACAAAAGGTTGCTTTTCTGTTCAATACAGTTTCATGTAAACATCCAGCAAGGCATAATTAAGACTGGGAGGAACAGCAATAATTCATTTTCATGGTAAATGTAAAGAAATTGCAGTTTAACGTGAATAACATCAATTGTGATGGGTCCAGGAAACTTGTTTAAAATAATTTTGCCTTTCAAAACAGTTCCCTTTCAGCTGGTTGCCTAACATTAGCCAACACCAGGAATTGATTTTACATGAGCTGCCAAATGGTTTAAAAAAGCAAAAAGAGTGATTACACAAAACAAGAATAATTGAAGTATAAAGCACTTCAAAAACTAGCACTCCTACCATAGCTGTGATTTCATCAAAAGCTTGTAAAAATTCCACAATCTTAGACTTGTGAGATGGTTCAACACGAGCAAAGCAGCGAGCAGTCAAACAAGCTTCACGTTGTTCTGCTGGGGGAAGTTCATCAAACTCACGGCCAGTGAAAGCTTTTTTAGTGACATCTTCCCGTTCTGAAAAGATACCAATACGACGGCAAATGGCTACAGCAGTGCCCTTGTTGTCACCAGTGATCATGATTACACGGATACCAGCGTGCTTGCACATCTTGACTGAAGCAGCTACCTCTGATCGTGGTGGATCAAGCATACCAACACAGCCAACGAATGTCAGGCCAACCTGGAAGGGAGACAACATTGTCATTTTCCAAAACACACTGCTACATTAGCAGTCACATGATGTTCAAAACAATGGCACGTTTTTCGTAAATATCCTTTAAATCCTGCTGCAGGCACATTGAAGCCAATTGCATTTCCAAATTGTTTCTACCCAAAAGCTGTAGGGCCTGCTTTATTTTGTATCACCTTATGACTTATACTATTAAAATAAAAACACAAGGATGCCTTTAGTAATAAGGAGGGTCTAGGCCCGAAACGTCAGCCTTCCTGCTCCTCTGATGCTGCTTGGCCTGCTGTGTTCATCCAGCTCTACACCTTGTTATCTCAGATTCTCCAGCATCAGCAGTTCCTGCTATCTCTGCCTTTAGTAATACCTTTCACATTCTGGTATACAAGAATATGGTCTGATGAGTCTGACCATTCATTCGTGTCCGCTAACTACCTGAATTGGAGTTGTCAGTTCGTAGTGGGAGCCTCGGATGAATTTTCTCTTGCAGGGCAAAGGGCAATATTTACTTACCCTACTTTAACAACTTCATTTGCCAAGATCAGTTAACATAATACAGATCAAGAAAGAAATGAAAAACTTTGCGATAGTGAAAATTTGGGGGTACAATAATACAGTGAGTGGGGGAACTGAGTAACTTTTACATAGAGGGAGCACGGACACCATGGACCGAATGATCCCCTTCTGCATTGCGATCATTCTATAATCGATGTGGAGTAATTTGAATTCAACTCAATTCCATTTATTATGTCTAATGGGTCCATTAACCATTAAGTTAAACATTTCAAATCTGTTTGCTTCACCTAGACTGATCATTTTTAAAATGCAAAAAACAGCAAAGTTAACAAATCACTCTGGAACAATTTCAGTTTGACTTACATGTGGACAGGTACAATTTTACACATAGTAAATTGCCATGTATCATGTGGCATTTTCCTCAAATATTTCTGACATCATTGAACCAAATTCAACTAGCACTTTTTTCCCTGTTTGGTGGTATCAGGCACCTGGAAATCAATAACCACACACAAACCAAGGAAAGAAAACTAGACAAGTAGACACTCTCCCCCAAGACGGGATGACACCCCATTAACCAAGATCCCGTTCAGTTTACAGGACAAGTGGATTAGGAACCCCCAATGTCAACAGTCATCCTGTAATCTACGTAAACAAGGCCAGACAGTTTACCAGAACATGGCACTGTTAACACTTCAATACTTGCGCAGATGCAAGGACTAAAAAAAACTAACATGTGGTATGTTGAAAAGTGTTTGAGGGGGGCTAATGGCGGACACTTGAGTGCAAGTTGGTCTGAATATGTTCAGCCATAAACTAGTTTGAAAAACGTTCTTGCTCAAGTTACTAAAATAGAACAAACAACAATTCACAATGTTTTAACCGATTGCTTGGTGTTTTCTGAAGCTGAATGGGAAGAATCCCAGCCCCAGATGATGGTAGTTTAATGGTCAACTCAATCAACAGCAGCATCCTGAAGAATTACAGATCTGTTAGCTTGAAAACGCGTACCCAGCTCCAATTTTCTAATCACCAGGCACATTACCATGAAGTCACCTTAATCTCAAGAGCTATAAATTCAACACGCATCTTCAAAGTAATAGATGACTAATTTTAATCGTGTTGTCACATGCCACCTGGACATTCTAAGCATCCAAATCCCAAGGACCTAACAATTGCAAAGTCAACTTCCTACACACACACACACACACACACACACACACACACACACAGCTTTTTGCTACAAATCTATCAGCGTTTAGTCCTAAAACCCACACAGGGGACAAAGGATCCTTTTGTGCAGCTGGGATATCTAATCTCCAAAGGAGAATTGTGAGGATGTGTCTTCTACAAGCATCATCTGTTGTTTCAGGACTTTGGTTTTCTCTGCTTCTTTCAGTAATTGCAAAGTGCCATGCACCTTTCCAGTTTGGTTTCAAAGACCAGTGTCCAGGCTAAAGTTGACATTTAGCAAAAACATTAGGTACCAATTTAACACAAATAAGACCGCTGTTCATTCCATCTTCAAACTATATCTTGTGATCTATAACTTATAACATACATGTGACATGTAAAGGATGAGATTTCTGAATATTTGGACGTGTAGAGTAAAATAAGGCAAAGTCAGCATGGTTTCATCAAGGGGAGGTCATGCCTGACAAATCTGCTAGAATTCTTTGAGAAGTAATGAGCAGGGTAGACCAAGGAGAGCCAATGGATGTTATCTACCTGGACTTCAAGAAGGCCTTTGACAAGGTGCCACACAGGAGGCTGCTGAGTAAGATAAGGGCCCATGGTGTTAGAGGCAAGGTGCTAGCACAGATAGAAGACTGGCTGTATGGCAGAAAGAGTGGGGATAAAAGGGATCTTTCTCTGGATGGCAGCCAGTGACAAGTAGTGTTCCACAAGAGTCAGTATTGGGACGACAACCTTTCACTTTATACATTAATTATCTAGATGAAGGAACTGTGGGCATTCTGGCTAATTTTGCCAGATACAAAGATAGGTGGAGGGGCAGGTAGTATTGAGGAGGTGGCAAGGCTGCAGAAGGATTTGGACAGGTTAGGAGAGTGGGCAAAGTAGTGGCAGATGGAGTACAACTTGGGGAAGTGTGAGGTCATGCACTTTGGTAAGAAGAATAAAAGCATGGACTATTTTCTAAATGGGGAGAAAATTCAGAAGTCTGAAGTGCAAAGAGACTTGGGAGTTCTAGTCCAGGATTCTCTCAAGGTAAACTTGCAGGTTGAGTCAGTCGTCAGGAAGGCAAATGCAATGTTGGCATTTATTTTGAGAGGACTTGAATATAAAAGCAGGGATGTACTACTGAGGCTTTATAAGGCTCAGGTCAGGCCACATTTGGAGTATTGTGCGCAGTTTTGGGCCCCATATCTCAGGAAGGATGTACTGGCCCTGGAGCTGGTTCAGAGGAGGTTCACGAGAATGGTCCCAGGAATGGAAAGCTTAACAAATGAGGAAGTTTGAGGACTCTGGGACTATACTCATTGGAGTTTAGAAGGATGAGGGGGATCTAATTGAAACTTACAGAATACTGAATGGCCTGGACAGAGTGGATGTTGGGAAGATGCTTCCATTGGTAGGAGAGACTAGGACCTGAGGGCACAGCCTTAGAGTAAAGGGAAGACCTTTTAGAACGGAGATAAGGAGAAACTTCTTCAGCCAGAGTGGTGAATCTATGGAATTCACTGCCACAGAAGGCTGATGACGCCAGGTCATTGAGTACATTTAAGATTGAGGTGGATAGGTTCTTGATTATCAAGGGGATCAAGGGTTACAGGGAAAAAGCAGGAGAATGGGGTTGAAGAACTTATCAGCCAAGACTGAATGGCAGAGCAGACTCAATGGGTCGAATGGCCTAATTTCTGCTCCTATGTCTTATGGTCACATATGCCAGGCAAAGGCTATCTCAAACAAAAGACAATTTAACCATTGCTCCTTAAGTTTCAATGGTGTTACCTTTACTGAATCTTGTTAGAACAACATCCTAGGGGTTGCCAGTCATGAGAAACTGACCAGGACTAGCCATATAAATACAGCAGCTGCAAGAGCAGGTTAGAGGGTAGGAATACTTCAGGAAGTAAATCACCTCCTGCATTCCTAAAGCCTGCCCACCATCTACAAAGCACAAGTCAGGAGTGTGATGGAATACCCCATTTGCCTAGGCAAGTGCCACTCCAACAAAACTCAGGAAGCTTGACAGCATCCAGCTCAAAGCAGCCCACTTGATTAGCAGCACATCCACAAGCATCCACTCCCTCCACCACCTCAGTAGCAGCAGCAGTGTGTACTATCTACAAGGTGCACTGCAAACATTCAAAGATCTTGAGACAGCATCTTCCAAACCCATGTCCACTACCATCTAGAAGGACGAGCAACAGATATTTGGGAAACGACTTGCAAGTTCATCTCCAAGCCACTCACCATCCTGACTTGGTAATACATCACAGTTCCTTCAGATTTGTTGGGTCAAAATCCAGGAATTCCCTCCCTAATAGCATTGTACATGCAGCACATGGACTGCCGCAATTCATGGCAGCAAATCACCACAGTTAATAGGCAACTAGGGATGGACAATAAATACTGGGCCAGCTGGTGGTGCCCACGTCCCATGTGAATAAAATACTACAGCGATACAAATCCGTAACCACTGACAATTAATTCTCACTGGCTCACCAACTGCTCCATTTAGTTAACAAAGCACAGTAGATCCTCTGACAGGTATACAAATAGCACAATATCATTTAATTAAAAAAAGGTTGTTGGAATTCTTTCAAGAAGGTTTGGAAGGTACAAAAAGGAATGCTTGAAAAGAGTGGGTGAGACTTTACTGCCTATATGAATATGGCTCTCTCCCATGTTTAACTTTGATACCTTTAATTGCCATTTCATTAAACATAATGGACAATATTTACTTTTTAGCTGTGGTTACCAATACAAAAAGTTTACAGCAACATAAAGTCCTTTCTGATGCCAATACTAACTTCATAATTAATAAAATTCGATGACTCTTCCAAGTTCATATCTTCTTTTCTGACTGGATTATCATGTGTAGCCAGTGCCAAGCAACGAAGTGTGTCCCTCCCAGTACCCCATTCTTTGACAACAGACAAAATCTTCTCTTTGACAGACACTGAGAGGGGCACTTTATTGGTTCCAACACGAACATACGAGCATCTATCAATCACTCCCTCAGGGGCACCCTGTTGGGGAGAAAAAAAGCAAAACAGTTACAGCATTCTTAGCACAACATAGCCCCATGGACCCCACCATTCTCTACAATACTTTGACAGCTTGTTCTCTGAAAATGGATTTGCTTCTGCCAACCATTTCAGAGCATGGATTTTATGAACTCAACTCAAGATTAATTCTGTCAGTTCAAAGTTAATCATCATTAGTAGGTAATGGTCATAAGCCCAAAAACAGACTCAGTCAGGTTTGCTCAAAACCACCACTGGGATGGTTCAATGCAAATGAATACAGCAATACTTGCAAATATTGTTGCCAATTCATCTACAAAGTAGAAAATACTTTTATTGAATATGAAACTACAAAATGATCAACAGTACGAGGGGGATAAAGCAAAATGCACTAAAGTTTTACCTTAACAAACATCTTGTTGCCAATAGATGAACGAGTGGGTTTGTTAGGGGAACAGTACACAGACATCGATTTCCGGTCTCTGGAAAACTCCAGAGTGAACTCCTTCTTCATTAGTTGTTTGATGACCTGGAGAAACAAAAATATATTTTAAGCTAAATTTTCTATTTAACTTTTTACCCCGTCAGTAAAAGCACACTGCTTCAAAGTTTAAAAACTTACAGTGCAGCAGGCATTGGCACGCTCAATCTTGGATAGATTCTTCATGTCTGTATCAAACACATTCATTTTTTCAGCCAAGCAACAAAGGGCAGTCTCTGTGGCTTCTCCAACCTTCTCATATACACCTTTGGTCTGAAAATTAGAGGCAAAATTAATTAGAATTGACACTGAAACCACAATGAATAGTTTCCGACAGTACTAAACATGGCAACGAGAGTACTTTTCCCATAGTTAGTATAACAAGTTGATCGATTTTGATTTTCTGAACTAAAGAAATATTAGAATTTGAACTATAAATCCAAAACAATTACTACTTCAATCTGGCAGAGAAATGTTTTAATTTGAGAGATTTGGTGTTCAGTTGCAATTACCAGGAAGATACATTTCAATCACACAATGAAATATTCAAGTATTGACTGGGAATAGGGTTTTAAATTTTGCCAGACTTTTGAAGGGTGGAAACCTCCATTATTCACCAGTATTTTATTCTTGAAAAAAGTTCAAGATTTAAATATATGAAAGGTAATGAAATCAAAGTCATCGCAGTTATTCCAATCAAGTAGCATTTACCTAATATACACTTCCAGATTGAATCAGCTAAGCATGACAATAACTTGGGATACAAATAAGCAAAACTTTAATTTGCTTGCTGCAACTCCTAGACAAAACAAAAACCATCCTCAATTTTCCTTCTTCCCTTAATCTGACCCAGTGCAGTGCCCCCCAGCCATTAGATAATAGCCACCAACACTGCCACGTCACATTAGGTCCATCTCCACCACCAGGCCTTCTTTTATATCATCTCTTCCATAAGCCATCCATTTCTTGCATCTGGTCTCTCTCCCAGTTCCATCTCACTCTATGAAACTCCAGTCTTTCAGCCCTGCATGATCTTGACTTCCATGTGCAGTCATGGTAAGTTAAATGAGCAATTGTATATTAGATTCATACCTCATTATAATCCAAAGAAGAATCATTGCAAAGTGCACAGATTGTTGCCAGTTCAACAAGGCCATCGTAGTCAGAACATTTCACTACCTTGTTATCCAAATCTCTGCAAGACAAAAGTTAAATTTAACTATGATTTCCAGGCCCAAATATTCTATTCAATTAAGGAACCGTAGGCCACAGCAGTGTTAGTGGCAACAGGGTCAATCCAGATTCAGTTTTACAAATTTGAATTTTTATTTTGGAAACCACCATATTTAAGTTTTGAGATTCGCAAACAATAATTCATACTGGGGGATCCTATTGTAGTTTCAACTCAAATGCAGTGCACAAGACCCAACTGATGTGCTCAGCTGGGTTAAAATTTCAACTTCAGCTCAAGACAGGAACTGAATAACAGCACTGCCTATACAGGTACTTAAACTGCAGTGCTGAAGTTAGCAGTCGCACCCATTCCAGATAATGATATGCAAAATATGCCCCAGTTATCCAGGATCACTTGGTGCAATATCAGTCACTTTTGGCAACAATGTGACTGAGTTGCAGTGTTTATGTCCCATTAGCACCATTCTGATGCTGTTTAAAGGGAAGAGTTTAAACATAGGCACACATTTACGCAAATTGAAGTTACAGGTCAAAAAGAAACCTGGCACTTTCATTCCAAAAAAACATTAAAATTTATCAATGAAACTATTATTTTTCAAAGTCAGCATTATATTGATCACAGTACTACTCAGTGAGTGACAGTATTTAAAAACTAAAACAAGCCATTATTAAAGTAATGCAAATTCTTATTTAGCCACTTCACTTATTAACCACAAAAAAAAACAAAAAAAAAAAATCGCTCTTTGTCTGCATACTAAAGATTTTACTTGCATTGGTAATTAAAGTTCACATGACCAGGATTATTTCATTCAAACTGCATTCTAAGGCAGCAAAGATTGAAAATTCTGCTAATATTTATCTTTTCATTCCTGAACATTAACTTTTACTGCGGTATTCATTCAAAATTACAGAAATAGAAAATTCCGTTACATAATTTTTACCCAGCTGATTAATTTAAAAAGCACAAATACAATATAGATAACAAAAATAAAGACACTGTTGTCATTCACAATTTCACATGAAACATCATAAAATACTGGTTAGGCCACTGACAGAATGCTGAATGTGGCAGTCAGAACTGCATAATTGGAAGGATTTCCCTGGAGAGTGCACATAGGAGATTCACCAGGACATTAACTGTTGCATAACAGGCATGGGGTGAGACTGGATTGACTTTCCTTGGAGCAGAGGAGACTGACAGGGAATCTGATCGAGATATACAAAATTATGAGAGGCACAGACAGGTTATATTGTGAGAATCTTTTTGCCATAGCAGACATTTCTAAGACCAGAGGGAAAATGTTTAGAGGTGAGGAGTAAGTGGTTTAGGGCGATCCGACAAAAACAACTTATCACCCAGAGGATGGCAGAGGCAGGTACTGTCACAACATTTAAGCAGCATCTGGACGAGGACTTAAAATGCCAGTGCACAGGAGGCTATGAAACAAGTACAGGTAAAGGAGATTAGTGTAGTTTGGTGTTTGTTGGTCAGCATAGACATGGTGGGCCAAAAGGGCCTGTTTCTGTACTGTTTGACTAAGTTAGCATCAAGTCATTCTGGAAGACAAGCACAAAGGGAAATTTACCTCTGAGCTCTTTAATATTATTCGCTTATGTGCAACAATGGTAATAAAATTTCACATGTAGCAGGTTAGGGTATTCTTTCAGTTACAAAAGCACAGATTATTCTCAACTTGCTCTTTCTGCACACATTGCAGCAGTCATGGCTTTCTCACCTCGAGTCATACGGTTGTGGATTCAAGCCCCATTCCAGAGACTTAAGCATAAGATACGTTAACATTTCATTGCAGAATGGAGAGAATGTTGCAGTGGGGCTCTTTCCTTCAGATACAACAGTATAGCAAGGTACTGGCCCCTTCAGTGGATGCAAAAGAATCACAGCATACCACTTGAGCAAAAGGAAGAGCGATTTTCTTGTGTTTTAGTTATTGCTAAACTAACATGATAATTTTTAAAAATTCTCTTCTTGCCATTATCTCTGTTGTTTATAGGACTTAGGAAGGCGTCTGTTCTTTGTCTACATAAGCTTAATGGCTACACCGCAAGTAGTTCAGTTTTGCAATGGGATTTCCTAACAATGCAAAATGTACTACATTAATCCAAGTTATTGCTTGTATATATTTCAAGATTTTTTTTGGGTGGGTGGGGCGTGGCATGGCAGCAGCAATGTGGAAATTAACAGCACCTTTTCATGACCAGCTTCTCCTGCTTAGAAATTTTTAAATTACTTGACAAAAACCTTCACACACAACCTTAGTCCAAAGTTGGTGGTTTATTCTTGAACATTTCCCAATAAGTAATCAAATAGACCTGCAAAAATTTCAGACAAAATACTGTTAAGAGACAAGATTCTGGTGTAAAAAGATTGGGAAGGTCGACCTGTAATAATAGCATACTCTGAATAATATCTGGCAACTTCATTTACTTGCAATTTGTTCCCCCAACAGATATCCAAAGTTATTGCCCTTAATCTCATTAGCCACAACATCAAGATTAAGTCAAGTCCGCAATATATGACAGAAGTCTAGAGTCAAATCCAAATAAATACTTCGCAAATTTTTGATGGATATTTTTGATTAAATAAAGATCTTCTACCAAAATTAGTCGTCTTCCTGGATTAGAGCCAAATGTCACAAGTGAATGTGAGGCTTCAAACAAAAAAAAAAAAAAGGGCACACTGAAATTTAGGATCCAGGCATTTGTTTTCCTGAACAAGTATACCAGACTGAAAGAGTTTTATTACTAGTGGCATACTGTTGAAATTTGATTCAAGCTAAAAAGGTCCAATGAATATGGATGGAATTTACCAATATAACACTCTTCCCCTTTTATATTTGAGACTGGGTAATGAATACATGTTGAAGTGTACAGCCTCTAAAAAGGTATGTCTTCTACAGTCAGGAGGTAGGACAAAAAAAAAGGATCAAGTCACAGATCTTTGCAGCCACACAAATATATATGTGGTCATGTCCTAATCCTGCCATTTCTATTACCTTCTGATAGACAGCTCACTAGTGGAGATGTTGTATCCCTGTTTAGGTCTCTATTTGCATTAACACTGTGCGCTGTTATTCGTTATCAGGTTCACCCACTACATCCTCTTGGAAAAAACAGCAAAAATGGTTTTCATTTCCTTCTCTTCACCCTCCCCTGCAGAAAGAGGCACTAGATTAGCGGTAATTGCATTGTGCAATTGTGATAAACCTTCCCCAAGTGCCAAACACAATATAGTCTTAAAGTGGGTTTTTTTGGTCTTATTATTCAAGGCATGTAGGAACAAAAAATCCAATTTAGTTACAGTGGAAAGTTGTTGTATATTAAATGCTTTCATATACACTTCAAAATCAAGTATAGAATACAGTGCACAGACAACTGACCCATACTTTTAAATACAGCTGTACACATTCAAGGTGCAGGTTGAAAAATGGGTTTGAAAAATGAATGAGCACGTGTACTTACATTTGTCCCTCAGGACTATAGGTGGAGCCACTTACTGAAAACTCATTCAGAGAACACTGTTCGCCTTCAACTTTGTCAACAATGAACATCTAGGAAAATGACAAAGTAATGGACAGTCTAAGTTAAGCACAGCATATCAACTGCTGATCAAATCAGTGAGTAGAAAAACACAAATTCCTCATGACGACAAATGGGTTACCCGACACATAAACAAAGCTTCTTTTACACAATGCTAAAGATCGGATCAGCATTTAGGTCTGTTGCTACATACATAAATCTTTTTCTGGAAATAGTTTTAAAGGATTGAGATACAAGTACATGGAGCCCCATATAATCTCATACATGCATAGATTTTATAGTCTGTGCAAGTGCCTCACGAGATCAGAGAAAGCTGCGAGAATCTTACTGGCTAGGTCAAAAGATTCTTTACACCAAGCTTGAGTAGAGAAATCATACTCCCAGAGGAGTTCATTTGGCAAACAATCAGGTTGCTTTAGCAGCCAATTTTGAATGTGTGACAGCTCACATAAATCTTGCACATATCCTACAAGCTGAAGATGACATGTAAAGGACAAATGAACTAATTTAAACTCTTCCAACAGTTTCAAGATGGGTCAGTGCTTAGTTATTTAAAATCTTAACTTTGCGCTAAAAAAACCCATTTTTTAAAAAAATGCTACATCTTGCATGCAAGCATACATTAATAAATCTAAACAAAAAGATGCACACATCACAGTCTGTAGATAAAAGCCAACCAAATCTGTTTCTAATATAAAAATTTTAATAATGAAACAGATAATTAAGTTTGATAAACATTTAAAGTGGATTTCACCATCGATTTTACTCTGGCATTATGCCATTTAAGTTGGGCTCTCCAGAGGATGTTGCATAAATTCCCATGTACATTGTCAATTGAAGGACAAAGGGATAATATACAATTAACTAATAAGTGCAGACTAAGGCAATTATTTTTTAGGAAAATAAAATGTTGCTTCAGCAGAGAAATGGAGTCTTCCGTGCTCTGACCTTAAACAATTCTCACACTTGCCACCCTTCCATTCCAAACATTAAAAAGACTAACAGTACAGACAGAGACAATCTTCTGCATTTTAAAGTTGTTTTACAAAAACTTTTAAATAATCCAAAATCTGATGTAAAAATACTTACCCGGCAGACAGACATCTGATTTGTAGTGAGAGTACCAGTTTTGTCAGAACAGATAACAGAAGTGCAACCCAATGTTTCAACAGAGGGCAAACTCCGCACAATAGCATTCTTCTTTGCCATTCGTCTAGTTCCAAGGGCCAGGCAGGTAGTAATAACAGCTGGTAAACCCTCTGGAATAGCAGCAACAGCCAGAGCAACTGCAATCTTAAAGTAATAGATGGCACCACGGATCCAGGAGCCACCATGTACAGGGTCATTGAAGTGGCCAATGTTTATGATCCAGACAGCAATACAGATGAGCGAGATAACCTTGGAAAGCTGTTCACCAAACTCATCAAGCTTCTGTTGAAGTGGAGTCCTCTCCTGTTCAGTTGCTGCCATTTCATCACGAATTTTTCCAATTTCTGTGCTTGTACCAGTGGCAACGACAACTCCAACTGCCCTTCCAGCTGCAACATTTGTACCCTGTGAGGGGAAAAGTGATACGTTTATCTTGAAATTGGGAGTTCGCAATTTCTACCTACGTTAACAGAGCAGCTATATGCTAAACAAATTGAAATACACAGCAGTTTAATCAGTAATTAAGAGAAAATTTGAGGAAGGTGATAATGGTGTCATGGTAATACTCACCAGAATAGTAAGCCAAAGGCCCAGACTGATAGCCTGTGAAGATTCTGGATTTAAATCCCACCATAGCAGACATTCAATTATCATTTATATACTCAAATAAATTACAAAACAATACTAAGATATTCCTGATATCCATTTTCCCTCCAAAGGCTCTCATATTCAAGAATATAAATATAGTGACAGCCATCCACTCAAAGGTTATAAAACTTGTGCCACTGATATAGTTACAGCATTTGAGTTGGTTGGCCTATGATCATGAGTTGTTCCTTAGTTTTAATCATAACTCAGTTGGTTACAGTATGCATTCCTAAGCCTTGGGATGGGTGACTGACGCATTGCAGTTAAGTATAGGCATATGCCTAGTAAGATGATCACCAAAAAAAAAGGACCTCTCAATGTTTATTTGTACCAGATTGAGAAACAAATCAAACAGTAAAGCAGCTCAATAAACTAATTGAGTATATTCTTACACAAATAAGAAAAAAGGTATCCACACAACGGTCCACAAACTACAAACACGCTGCAAGCCCCTACTTAACCTATAAACTCACTTTCCTACAAGATTTTGTTATCTTTTGTCAGTAGACTCACCTATTTTAAGTTTAGCAATTCTCATAGTTTGAAAAGATCTGCTCCCACTTATTGATGGATAAATCTTAAAACAACACACCATTCTGGTGAGTCAAAACAAAATTAAGCATTCAAACCCAGTGTCATACAATAGCCAGAAACAAAAAAAATGATTTTCATTGGATTGTTTAAATCAAAGACAGCTTTATAATTTAACGGGGAACACTTGTGCTCAAAAGTTGATTTTTAATTGAAAGCTATAATTTGGTTTGGGGTGGGGCGGGGGGGAATGTTTTTAAGGTCAAAATTAAAATTTGTGCAATTAGATTGTAAGCAACAATAGCTTGTGAACAGATGATAAAATTTCAAAAATTGATAACCAGAAGAAAAAAAAACAGAGGCTAAGAAGGTTATTTTTCTGTTGTTTGCAGTGATCCAGAGCAACCAGCTGAAGTTTTATCTGTCCTCTCCCTTATAGATTGGATGACAGAGACAACCCTCTGTGGGGCAGATTTCCATGTTCACACTGACAGATCAGATGGTAGATCGAGCCCATAAGAGCTGGGACTACTGTTGTGTTACTAGAGAAGCAGAAATCTGCAAAATGGTTAAAGGGATGCTAGTTTCTGGAACCTACATCAAAACGACTGTATAAAACAGTAACCCAAGTGGTCCACTATGACAATGCATTTGGACAGATGAGTGTTTTGGGTATTAAGACAATGCCTTCCTCACGAATTTGCAGCTCAGCAAAATAACTTCGCAGTGGACTGTTCAGAATTCAGAACAGGGGGTCTACTTCTGCCAGGCACGCTGTGGCCATGAAATTACACTAGCTAGAATTGTGTAATGGCACTATTTAAAAGTCAAGGTGAATTAAAATCTCAAACAGATTATCTTCTGCCTCCTCAAAATGCCTGTTTTTATAACTGTGAAGTCTAGTGATAACTAAAGTTAAATTTTAAAATACTCAGAATTTTGGACTTTGAGATATAAAGATATTGGCCTTCCAGCTTGTAGAGTTATGGGCACTCTGAATGATCAGTCACCCAATGCATACTGCCAGTGAGCACTGAAAGACAAAACAGCACACAAACATAAATGCCACTAAAGTAGATCCCAAAAAGAACCCACTTAAGACTTCATTTTACACAACGGACAGGACTGTGCCAGGCCAACGGGGATCACATCTACTAGGAGAAGAATGCTGGCTTCCAAGAGTTCTAGGGGTCCCATCAAAGGCTCTCCTGCAAAGAAGTCCTACCTATTGAGAACTACCGACCAAAGAAGCAGCTAACAGCTTGATACTGCCATCAACATCAGAAGTGATGGTTGTTAGTTGCCTGCACCCACCCAAGGCACAGGAATGCAGGGTACAAGTCAGTGAAAGTAGGAGATGGGGGAACAACCCTCTGTGAATGTTAGTGAGGTGGAGTTGGCTCCTGCTACCAGACCACTGTTCTGGGTCCTCTTACAATTGAAAGAGCCTGGCAATCATCAATCCTGCCACAACACACCACACCACAAGTCACAGTCACTACATACACCAAAGGGAAGAAAGTGCTTTGCCTGTTTTAATTTACTGGACTCTTAATAGAAAACTGAATGTAATACTGGCAGGAACATTCAATTAACATTCACCTTACAGCCTTCAAGATAGCAAACAAGATCAGAAATCAAGTGAAGATTCAGTCCTGTACTCAATCCTCAATTACAGCACAACATGTTGTCACATCAAAAACCAGGAACAAACATTGTTTCATCTATCAACAATGAAACAGTGGATTATAAAATCATTATTTCCTTGGCAAAACTAACATAATAGCTCCAACTGGAAAACCCCTTTGTTAAGATCATTAAATCTATAACCAATTTTAATCTGGCACATTTTCTGGTGATGCCACTAGCTGTGCCATGACTTACAGCATCAGCACCTGATGGCACTTGGACAGCAATATTAAGATCAGCTTAGGGAGAAATCTGAAGGACTTGAGCTGTAGAATCGGCATTTGAAACAAAAAAAAAAAACTTATTCTCACTTCTCCCCTTTAAAAGTAGCAGTTTTACAAAACTCTGATATATGCAAGAAAGATGCCAAATTATTAGGAACATGTTAACATTCTACTGTATTTGACTACTATCCAGAAGATTATGGCAGCAAGTCAATCCTACAGTATAAAAGTCCCTGAGCCAAAACAATTTCTTGGCATTAGTCTTCATTTAGAGCTACTCTTTACAACTGAATGGTTTTGTTTTGTATGTGTAAACAGCAACGGACTGAAACTACATGTGCCTGAAATTTCTGTCTGAAACAGGGAAGGAGTCAAAAATACTATCAGAGAAGTTCAAACAAATTTGCTTTACTAATGAGAGCCTTTTATTTGAAGTTCAAGGTAGTTAAAATTCAATTCAAAATTATATCGTGCTGGGAAAGGAAAGAAAAAAGCTGGCTACCTGATGAGTAAATACTATTACAACTATCAATTTGATAAGTGAAGGGTGAAGTGGCTTTTTAGTTATAAAAAGTAACAGTGAGGGATTGGGTTGCAACAGCTTGATGGCATTGCCTATTCTTAAGCAGGTCACTTTACTACTCAAAGTTAAATCTAGACAATCAAGTTGCTTACAGAAAATAGCATGTTCTTTTTGTCCTGATTCACAGCACGAGGGTCAGGTACTGGATCAGTGTGCTTGATAATTGACACAGATTCACCTAGGCAAGAGAAAAAAGAAACATTAGAAAGAATTATTTAAATGTCACCCAGATCAAAGTCGTCCTTTATTTTTAAAGGAAAGGACATCTGGACTTAAGCGTACAAGACTGCAAAATATCAAATTTTAGAAGCAATCTAAGTAAACCTTTTGACTCAATGTAACCCACTGAGAGACTGTGTCATTTTCTGTTCATAATGTAGCTGGGGGCTGGTTTATAAAAAGTTTGAAGAATTCTTAAATATACTTACGTCCACTTTATCCTTTTGTTTTATATATTAAATTACACACTAAAAAGTTAACAGATCAGCTGAATATTACTCATCATAAAAATCTACAACACTAATAATTCAATGTGCTTGAGAATTGCAAGTATCCAAAAATTTAAACGAAGCAATTAAAAGTTAAAATTTGTTGAGTTGCAATACATGCAACCAGCTATCAAAAATAAAGTTCTAAATCTTAAAATCCCATCTTTTCAATGTATAATGTTTCCCTTCTGTTTCACCGATATTTCAGATTCTGTACATTGCAATTTAAAACAACTCATGGTTAACTGACTTAGGATTTTTAATGAGCTTACAGAGCGTTGATAAGGAAATACAATTTGGCAGTGTAGCTATTTTTTAAAATCAACCTGTTCAGACATATTAATGACACATCTTTGGAGCAGTTGGAACTTGAACCAAGATCTTCTAGCCCAGAGATAGGGACACTACAACTTCACCAAAAGACCCTGAAGTAAGGGGTTTTCACTGCCAAACAATGCTGCTACATGCAGCAACAATCTTTGCCATGACTCAAATTTGTACCACCACTGCTCATGTGGCTGATGCAGTGCTCGTGGACTTCCAAAGATCTTTTCATAAAGCGTCACATAACAGACTTCAACAATGCTGACAAGTCAACAGAATAAAATAGACAGCAGTGGTAGGGTTACAAAGTTGACTGAGTGACATAGAGCATTAGTAAATGGCTGTTTCTTGGAAAAGGTACAGATTTTACAGGTTTTTTTTTATTAGCACATACAGGTTTCTCTACATACATCAGTGATCTAGACTTGGGTGCAGTAGACAATTTCAAAACTTGCTGGTGACATAAAACTTGGAAGTGAAAAAGTAAATTGTTGGGAGGATAGTGACCAATTGGCACGCTGCTGGAGTAGACAGGCATGCAGCAGATGAAATTTAATGCAGGATGTTGCAAATGTCAGATTTTATAATTAAGTTGGAGTTTAGGAAATAAGATTTAATTCTTAAGTTGAAAAGTTAAATGTAGATAAATGGAAAGACTTGTTTCAGAAGCTGTTAAATAGACGTGGAGTATCTATACTTGAAAAGATAATATGCATTTATTTAATAAGTTGAGTTGAAAGCGAAAAAACTTGAACAATGGATGACTCACCTAAGCTACTGGAAGGGATAGGTGGTCTACAGTTATTCGGTAAGGAATTTAAATTATCTGTGTTGTTCCCAGATCAAAGAGCCTAAGGGTACCTTTGTATGTTAAAGGGTTTCTTGGTGGGATCAAAAAAATCTGAAGATGGCTGTTAAACTCCTTTAAAAAGTGTTATAATTATTTATACAGTTCATTAAATCAACACTATTTTCAAGATAAAAGATTGTTAGTTTACTTTATATTTTTGAAGGATCCCAAGTATTTTTAAATTCATTCAGGTGGTGTGGGTTTCTGTGGCTGGGCCAGCATTTATTAAAGTATGCCACGTTGCTATGGAGATGGCCTACAAGGGAGGTGCTCTTCTTTGTAGCTTTTCACAGAATACAAGCAGTTCAACTTGGGAACAGACAGGGTTGGGGTAGAATCTGCCTGGTACATCAAGCAGCTGTATGAGCAAAGAAAGGGTGGAAATAAAATAATGCAAAGTAATATTAGCAAAAGAAAAACAGTTGAATTTATGATGAGGAATTCAAGTTATACAATAAAACTATTTAACACTTTGAAAATTAACATGACATGTTACCTGTAAGAATAGACTGATCTACTCTTAGGGTTGTTGATTTAATTGAAGTCAGCCTGATGTCAGCAGGAACCTTGTCACCAACTACACAAACAAAGAGAAGCATTAGTATTACCTTTCAGCTCGGTATCTTTAATCTTATAATAAACCAATAACATTTCAGTTGGCAATAAACATTTGTAATGCCAGTCTGCCTTATAGCTGGTGTATAACCCAAAACTCTTCTACATGTTCAATGCACAACCACCAATACACATTCACCTCCACCCCCAACACACCCAGTGTTTAGATTAAGAATGCAACAATTTTAAAGTATATAAAAAGGTTCCAATTTAACTTGAATGGAAGTTGGAATTACTACTGAAGGTAGAAAGAAAATACATTTTAAATCACTCCAATCTAGGCAATGGAATTTGCCCACCACAAATTTGGAGACATTGTTGAATCTTAGAAATTACAGTTCCTAAATATACAAAATCAAAAACTTTGTTGGTGTCTTTGTAATTGGAACCTTTCCTGATTTTATCCACAAGTCCCACCCATTTCCAACACATTCAGCAATAAACACGCTAAGGCACTAAGTATATTCTAGTTCCAGGTTTACAGATACTGACAAACTGAACAGTGTTTTCATGTGTTAGGATGTTTAATCTCGAGCTGTTGAGAAGTACTCAGTATAATTACCTTCCTCCAGTGTTGCAATGCCACGTAATTAGAATTTAAAGCAGAGCACTTTACATAAACTGTGTTGGATTTTAATATTTAATGCCCTGTCATACTTGATAAAGACCATGTAATGCACAGATTCTCATACCAGCAAATAAAAAAATTACTTACATAACATCATGTGTGAAAGAGGCGCCCAGGGGAAGAAATGTTTAGTAAAAACATTGTTTCTAAAGACTTTTAAAAGAAGAGAGATTGTGTGTTGAATAGGTACAGGGCTTTAGGAAAGGGGTTATCACAGCTGAAGACTTTATTACCAAACATAATGGGAAAAGGATGGGGAAATCCACAGAGATCAGAAGGCCAAACTATGCAAACCCAGGTACAAGGTAAGAAAGACACCAGGGTTAGGAGTTAGATGAAACCATGCAGTTTTAACATATTGGGGTTCAGGTACAGGTCAGCAAGAACAGGAGTCAGGCAGATCAGGACTGAACAGCCATTTTGGTCAGGTGGAGCTCTTGTTTTGCAGGGTGAACTGTGACTCCAGCAATAAGGATATTGAAGAAAATCAAGTCTGCAGGTACCAAAAACATGGAAATCAATGTTATGAGTCCGGTCATTGACCTTATACTTTCCTCCTGTATTTGACCTCCCAAAATACACAACCTCACTTGTCCAGATAAAACCACCTCTGCCATTTCTTCAACTTTCCAACTGATCTATATCGTGCTGTATCCTTTGACAACCTTCCTCACTATCCACAACTCCATCAACATGTGTCATTGCAGACTTACTAACCAGATCACCTACATTTCCATCCAAATCATTTCTATATATTACAAACTAAAGGCTCAACACTGATCCTTGCGGAACATCGTGGTCATAGACATCCCATCAGAAAAACAGCCCTCCCCCAATAACCCTCAGGTGTAGACTAAGCCAATTATATATCCAGCTTACCATGGATCCCATGTGAGTTAATCTTCTGGACGAGCCTACCATAAAGGACCTCCTCAAATGCTATAACAAAGTCCATGTTGACAACATTCCCTACCCTACCCTCAATCATGGTCACTTCCTCAAGAAACACAGATTTTACACACAAAACCTCCCCCAAATAAAGCCATGCTGACTATCACTAACAAGTCCATTCTTCTCCAAACGCAAGTAAATCCTGACCCAAAGAACTTTCTCCAACAATTTTCCTACTACAGATGCAAGGCTCACTGGCCAATAATTTCCTGAATTATCCCTGTTACCTTGTTTTAACAAAGGAAGAGCCTTCTGGAAATTTGTGGTCTTGTAAGCTCCAGGTGAGGATTGAGCGTTGGGGCAAGGGAGGAGTACCCTGGAATAGATCCTATTACGTCCAGGGGATTTACCTACTTTGATATTTTTCAAAACACCCAATACCACCTCCTTAACATCAACATACCCCTTCCTAGTCTTATCAGTATTCACTACAGAAAAGGACATGGATATGAAGTACAGTTCCGTGCTCAACTCTGGGTTGAGCAAGATGCAAACATTTTGCATAGCTTAGTTCAGCTAATCAAGTGGCTACAAAAGACAGTTTGTGCCAAGGAAGTGGCATTTACTGCTGTAATGGAATAAAATATGGCAAGTACTGTCAGAAAGAGATACAACTTATTCACATATATAAAGATCGACTATCCTCTCACCAAAGGGTATCAAGCAAACGAGATACAAAGCTGTGTCTAGACTAAAATATGTAGGTGATTGCAGATGACTGCTCAAACAGACAGGAACCTAAGTAGAAATGCCACCCAACAATAGTTCTAGAGCTGGAGAATGGAGGAGAATGGAGAGGGGGTTCAAGGTAGATCTTACAGAATAAATAAACTAGACAAAAGCATTGGATAGGAAATTCAGTTTAACAGAGAACCGGAGGAAATGAGGACCACGCTAGAGAGAGGGTATGTTAAATTCTCATCTTTCCAGCTACCTGTAGCCAAACAAAAAAAGTTGTGTTCACATGCTGCAGTCTAATAAAAACAAGAAGATTTATTGGCTCTAAGCAGGGAAGGACAAACTGTCCTAGTCAGAAACTATATTCTGATGACTAACACCCACTTGAATACTACATTAAAACCCTACTCCACGTAACCAACAACAGGGCAAGTCCTGATAGCATTTTATTTCACCACACATCACTAACAAGCCAAAACAGCACTGTTGCTGCCAGACACTCAAAAGATGGATCCTTCGAGTGGAGGCAGTGAAGTCCCAAGATGCAAGTTAACGTGCCTGCCAGATAAATGTGTTTTCTGTTACTGGTGAGGCTAAGCAGATCAGTACATCTGTACAGGACAGAGAATTAATCTTATGATTATAGGAGGCTCAGCATCCCTTGCTGTGTTATTATGGAAGGTGTTCACGCCTGGAACAGCTGTTATTTGCACACACTCCTTTAGCTGTTCTAGCTGATATGAATCACCTCATGACACATTAACAGTATGGTACCTATATCACTGGATTCTAACACCATTCCAGAAACACTTATACATGAAATTTACTTGCAATACTAATTCAGTCCTTTTGAAATCACTGATTTTGTTGGGGTGGTGGGGGGGGGCATTGGTAGGTGGATAAGCTACATTTCATGCTACAAATGAATCTGAAAGCAACACTTTGGTTTCCTAACAGTGGAAGATTGACATTGATACCTGGACAGGACACATGCCCAGAGTTAGCCAACAGATGGTAATTTGGTCAACCGAAATTCACTTATCTAAAAATACATCACTTTTGCAGCTGCCAGAACAAGTTGCCACAATGGGGTCCAACAAAAAAAAGCATTTGCTACTTCCTTGCAAACATGAAATTCCATCAATAACTTACATGTCCAACTCCTCAAGAACATACAAATATAGATGGCAGCAAACTTTTCCTCTAATGAATTGATGAATCTGTAGCAAAAGGTATTCCAAAACATTTATTTAAAAAAAGGGTGCCAAAAGGAATGCAAGTTGTTTAATGTGTCTTACGTGACCACACTAGGCTGCAAGTTTGCAGCTTAATCTAAGAAGGCAGTCATGATGATCCAGCTAGTTCTTCCCAAGTTTAAAATGAGAAACAGTTATTAAACAGCAAAACCCACACCTTAGTTGCATCAGGTAAGAGCAGACATGAAAGTCATTCTGCAATGCCATCAGTTGCTCAATGGAGATTACAGGGATTGGGCAGGGATGCCCTTTACAGGGTCGGTGTTGACTTGATGGGCAGAATGCCCTGCTTCCACACACTCATCTCTTTCTCAGAAAGTAGTACAGTTGTGGTTCCACAGCCAAATGAATTACATTTCTGGAGGGGTTTTTACTGACTGCTCTGTGTAACATTCAACAATACAAAGCAATTCATAAGAGCAAAACCTTTCAATGCAAAAATGAGCACGTAATACCATTTCATTAGTCAAAGAGACAGATTGCTTTACTGTGTCCTCTTCGCCTACCCATACTCCGCACCCACCCCCAACTCGGTGTTCACCCAATATAAACATTTCTTGGTTAAATAACAGAAGGCCATCTGTGCAATTTTAATTTTGTCAAATAGAGAACAGATAATATTACTGACGTGATTAAACTTTTAAACTGCATCAGGGGCAGAGTTCAGTGAACATTCTATTGTCACACTAGAAGATTAGCACCATCAGCTGCTATATCTGCAGTACAGAATTACATTTGCATTATGTCATAACCAATACATGTAGGGACAAACCACAAAGCAACTTCCATTAGAGACTGCTATCACAATGCCGCAATCAGATCTTTTCCAATTACTTTATAAAATATCTGATTTTAAAAATTCAGATTCAAAAATTAAATTATCTACCAATCAGCTATATATCCTGCAAGGAATTTCCCAATAAGGACAGGTTTCTTATTAAGCCACCAAATAAGCAATTTCAGAGCAATTTCCAGTCAAAAAATGTCAGCTATTTGATTTTTGAGATTAGAATGAATTAAAGACCTACTAAGTGCAACATAACTTTAACCATATGCAGATAACGCATTTTGGTATAAAGCAAAGCACATTTCAATCTTCTTTGTTTGATGGCAGTTACCAGATGAAAAGTAAGCTAAGCTTCTGTGTCCTTGAGCAGAGAACAAATAGCAATACCCAGACAATGAGCAAGGCCAAAAATGGGAAAACTATTTGAAAGTGCTCCCCTGATGTCGTGAGGAGCTTTAAATGTGGACATATGATAGCAGCTGGTTTCCAGCAAATCACAATTCCACAGGAGCAATGGGATAATACCTTGTTGCATAGTTTCACACGTCATGGTGGCTACTGCTCCAAATGTATTTTCCAGCCTACACCTTGCATCAAATTAAAAACAGTTGAATTCAGAAAGACAGAGACAGCTACAAATTTTTAATAAAAATAAGTTGACA